AAATAAAATAAAAGAAAAAGAAAAAGCAGTATAAAACAAAAACTATAAAGCGAGTAGCGAAATCAGATGTACTTACATGAATATATATATATATATATATATAGTTAAGTTTAATTTGTTTTAGTTTTTAAAGTTTAAATTTTTGTTTTAAAACAATATCAATTTTAAAAGTGGTATACTTCTGATTCCCTTGTGTTGGAAAAAATAACAACAACAAAAAACTCATTAAACAATATGATTTTTTCTGAACAACAATCAATATTGTTTTGTGCGAATTCTATGAAAACTAGAAGCACTGTGTTTTTCTGTTCTAATTTTTATAAGACAAGTAATACTGCGTTGTTCTGTACGAATTTATCTTTAAGAGTTTGGAGCATTACCTTTTTCAAACCTATCAACGCCTTCTCCTAGACTTTCGATTATACCAGCACCTTCGTGGCCTAGGACAGTTGGGAATGACCAATTTTTGTCACTTCCATGCTGCATATGAACGTCTGAATGACAAAGGCCAGCTGATGTCATCTGAAAATATAATTGCATTATATGTAAGGTAAAATTGTACACAATTTTGTGTTAAGTGCAATTTTTTACGAAATGAAACCAATTATATGTAAAGCACCGTTATGAGAATTCCGCAGAATTATAATGAATTAAGAAAGTAAATTTGTTTCACAAGTAAACGTTCTTATATTACACTCGTGGAAATTAATAAAGTATTTACATGTGTTGTAGATGGCTCAAAATATCTTCAGTTGAGAAATATGCAGTGGAGTTATAAAAAAAATCTATAACCTGAATAAAAATTAATCTCTGTAACGCTCAATAAAGACTTAATTGGGAAATACAACGATATAAGGGACCATCCATAAATTATGGCAAATTTTTTAAAAATATTTTTATACCTCTTTGGCATGGAATGTCATATCTTACCAAATGCTATATTACATCAACGAATGCTAGAAGATTACAAACAAAATACGCCACAGATCGTGTTCCAAAATCTTTACTATTATAATACTTTAATTGCTTGTTTCACAGTACCTCGTATGGATAAAAATGATTAGAAAGGTACTGATTTTGATGAAAAATAGGAAAAAATATGAAAATTAAATAAATAAATATTTAACCAGTCTACTTAAAAATTTTATTTTAACCAAAATATGTGATGCCCCACTTCTTGTTGAGTCCTCCCTATCGCTTGTCCTAAACTTTAATTTGAGGATGGTCCCCAAAACGAAAAATCTACCACCATATAAAAAATAACAATCTAAATTTGTAGTTCAATTTTTGGACCGTACTTTTGTGTTCAAGGTACTCTCCATATCTAGTAGTTGCACGATTGTAATTGAATAACTTTAATGATCCCTCAGACTATTTTCAATCTATTAATTTGAAAACACAATTTCTTACAATTTTGTGATTTTTTCCGAAATTTAATAGATTACTAATAATTTCACTTTATTGCGTATATTAATGAAATGTTTGAAGCTTAAAAAAATATAAATGATTGTGGTAGTAGATTTTTGAAATAGTTTTTATTTAAAATATAGTTAGAGGCAGAAAATTGCATTATGTTTTACGGTTTTTGAAGTTTATATTATACTTGTTAAATTTGTGTCAGGGCATTACGCTTTATCAATGATGTAAGCGTATCACTGCTAATAGATATAATACCCAAGTATATGATCTGAATAAGTCAAACATAATATCGTAGTTAATAATAATACCAAGAAACTGAAGAGGTATTATACTTCCTTAAAAACTTCATTGGACTCAAAAATATAAAAATGGTAATAAAAGTCGACAAGTTTCAAGCATTCAAAAACAGATGTCATTTCTTTAGACTTGTCAAACTTAAATGCCTCTCAAGTTTTGGGAATGTTTTTTTTAAACTATGGCTTTACTTTACGTCTGACAAGTCTAGAGAGTGGGTGACTATTTTTTGAGAGCTTGAGACTTTTATAATCATCTTCATATTTTCCTAAGGCAATTAAATTTTTAAATCAAAAAAATTTCGTAGTATTAGAGTTTATAACAGTAGACATAATTTGACAATATTAGCTTGTTTGTTGCTAGCTCAGTATTCGAAATAATAAAAAAAAAACCACCATTAGAGTTGTTCACTTCGTTTTTAAAGTATGGTTTTGAGTAAAGATTCCATCCACATACCTAGCTGTAATAATGTTTTTTTAGAAAAAAAATCACTGTGAAATTTCACATACTCTAACTCGAACTTCTCCTTTTTTTGGAACATCTACTTCGACTTTTTCAATGGAGTATTGTTGTCCCACTTCCCATACAACTGCAGCTCGGCAGGTGATTGGCTGAAAAATAATTTTGATTATGTTTCATCGAATTATTTTTGACATTAAAAATTTGAGTTCTAAAGACACTAGCTGGAATAAAATTTTCGCTCGTCACTATTTTGCATTCCTGAAAAGAATGAACCTGAAATTCGAAGCATATTTATAGCAATGATAATTATTTCAAATCAAAATATGTTTGTCTTTTAATGTTTTAATGTTTCCAAAATCAATGGTTTCGTAAGTGAAAAGTGAGTGACTCAGAATTCTTTGTTCAAATTAGAAGAAAAAGTCGTTGCTTGAATTCGAAAGACTTCTACTCTTCGCTTCAATTAGCCCCTTAACGATCGATTAATTTTCAAGAAAACAGTCATAAAAGTGTCGATTTTGCCAAATGCATGTAGTTGATTAGTGCTGACATCCAGTTTAAAATAAACTATCTACAATTACCTAGAAAATATCCTGGTACTGCCATCTGGTGAGTAAAATGAGAAATAAAATGTTTTCGGGTTTAAAAAAAATGAATTAGTTTTATTCTTATTGGCACGTTACTACTGAACACTTCAGCCCGGAAATTTAAGGGGAGCGAAAAATAGAGGGCGAAAACTCACCCCGTCATTTTCACGCGAGCGAGAAGGAAGGGATTAAATCCCTGGATCAATAAGGCATGATAGTCTGATTCAGTCATATGCATGCCTGTTTTTCAGGCAGATGGGTGCGATTGTTCTTGTTTTCCAGTGACACCATCTATGGCCAAGAATTCGACTTCCGTCACAGTCATACGTCACACCCGCTTATAGGGCGGGCCCATTCATACATCCATTCATTCATCCACAGATCTTAATTTTGACTTGAATCAGAGAACGATCGATCTCCAATCCAGTACCCCTAGAGGTATTGATTTGTTATGGGAACATGGAGGACTTTGCGACTCGACAGATTTAACGTGCATCAGTCTCCATTTACTAGACGGGGAGTCTTCGGTCAGCGGGGTTCGAACCCACGAACTATCGGACATGGCTCCCTACCGACCAGGCTATCCCTGCCCAGGCACGATAACCTAAACGTGCAAATTGAAACTCAATTTTTCTTTTATGTATCCGACTACTTTCGACAATGTTTTTGAAAGCAATAAAATAAAATTTAGAAAAAAACGAGTTTATATGCTTTATTGTGCGCAAGAACTCATAAAACTAGCAAAAAAATTATTAATAATTATTATTTTTAAACGGCTACTTTAGGTTAAAATAAAGCATTTTTTGCATATATGCTAAGCAGTGAAAAAAGTTCCATCACCCAAAACAAAGAATCCTTTGAGGATTTTATTAAGAACGCTATCAAGGCTATGTTTTGAGCTATTATCTTAAAAGCAAGTACTACTGAGTAAGGCATCAATGTCGCTAAAAAAAGCAAATTTTTAACAATGCGAAAAATTATTCATAAGAAATGAAATTCTCCTTTTTTTTCTTATTCTGTTGCTCAAAACATGAGCGCCATAATCATAAACACTCATGAATAATTTCAAAAATTATTTTAAAAACAAGCAATATATATAAAAGAAAATTACTTAGGCTAACAAAGAAAAATTTTATTTTAGTTACTTTTTATTAAATAATTTTTAAAAAAATTATCTCTCACATAAAACTAAAACTAATCAATTAAATTTATTTAATTAGTTAATATTTGAAAAAACTGTATTAACAACAAGTGTCATCCACTGCAAGTTTAAAAAAATTATTTGAACTTGAATAAAAAGTATTCTATTCTTGGATGAATAAAAAGTATTCTATTAATGATTTGAAATTTGAACAAGATATATAAATGCATATAGGGAAAGTGTGATCTAATAGTAGAAATTGAGAAAAAAGAAAGGTGCGTGGTAGCTAATAGAACCAAATTAAATTTGGTTGAGAAAAATCTGGAAAACCAAATTTAATTTGGTTTTCCAGAGTCGATAAAAGAGCACTTTGATAAAACGGTAGGATCAAAGTGTAAATCAGTATCTGAAATTGTAAGGTTATTACTTAGTTAAAAATGTTATTTTATAATCAAAGGATTGAGTTCTTGTTTTTATCATTAGAAACAAAATTCTGTTACAATTACTGACTTTAGACAATTGTTATATAATGCTAAGAGTTATCACTGAAAAAAAAAACTGATTGTATACAGACATGGAGGCAACAGTCTACAATTGTTTACTAAGAATTAAACGAAGAACTTATGATGTTACTGTTTAATGAAAATCCATTTTAAAAATAAATAGTGTACATTGTTTTTAAAAAAGGAAATCTTATTTTTTTTTACTGTACAATAAGTTATACTTTCTCAAGAATTATATTGCTAAATCGTACAACTTTTTTTCTTATCTTTTCTTAGCTAATTGAATGTATTCGTGTCACGCGATTTTCTTATCCTAGAGATTAAGAATAAGTTGATGTCAGAAATTAAATATTTACTTAATTTACCTGATACATTAGCCAAAGAGTGTAATTAATTAGGTTACATAAAAAAATTCCCATAAGTTTATGCACTCTTTATGTTCATTTTTGTGCAAACATTTTCAAATGGTAATATTATCTAGGTTATGCTGATACAAAGATAAAATTCTACACGAAGTTCACCCAGGAGTTAAAGTATATGCATATTTGTTTAACTGATAAGTAATTATCATTTAACATTCAGAGCATTAACCTCATAAAACTGAGCATAACTTTTATTTTAAGTAAGGAAAATATTTGAATTTAATAAATCACTCAAAATTTATTAAAAAAATTTAAATAATCTTTAGCAATTTTAAATTTTAATTGGAAAATAAAATTTAAATAAGAGATGTTCAGACTTAAAAAATATTAAATTTATTTTCTGTTGCAATTAGTGCATTTTATATGCATAAAATCTGTTTACAAGTGAAATTTATTTGCTTGTAAAAAAGATAGTTTAATATCAGTGTGGTAACTAATGGTACTCAAAATATGAAATGCATCAGTATAAAATTTTAATATTTATACTAAAATGCATACAAATCAAAAATGCGATAGAATGTTTTGGTTACTCAGAAATAATTCTAGCAATAGTTGGGTATTATATTAGGTAATATTTTATTAGTTAACTACAAACGCAGATATTAATTAAAATGCTTAAAAAAAAGATGTTTTGTCAGAAACTTACTGACTTTTTTTCTATTTAAGTACGTCTTCAACCTAACACACTTCACAGTCCGTTTTAAAAGGATGACTCAATCATACATCCATCCATTCATGCATCCACGGATCGTAATTTTGACCTGAACCAGAGGACGATTAATCCAGAGGTATTGATTTGTTACGGGAGCTTGGAGGACTTCGTTGCCCGACAGGTTTAAATGTGCCAGTCTCCATTTATTACACGGGGAAGGCGACTGGAATAAGACTCATGTCCTTTTGGGCCTAACGCCCTACCAACCACTAGTAACTCCTTTACTAGTAATGCAGTTATGCACACAGACAGAAAAGAGTAAAAAATTCTGCCAAAACTACTGTATTAGTATGGTAATGAAATTTCTGATACAGAAAGAAAAACCTATATCTTAAAAAAAAAAAAAAAAAAACTGAGTAAGAAATGAACAGTTTACATAACAGTAACTCATGTTAAAAAAATTTTGGAATACAAAAATTTAGTTCAGTAAGCTTGAAATGTTACATAAAATAGAAGTGATAAAAATATTGTAGAACAATTAAATAGATGCAATACAGTAATATTTAGACATTCTCACCTAAAACTTATACAGAATATTTAAAATATATCTAAATGAGCAAATTTAAATATACAAACTAATTTAAATATTAGCACCTTGCCCTTTTTGTAAAAATAAGCCGCCATCCTTAAAAACACTGCATTTTTATTTTATTTTTCCAGGAAAAGATTGTTTTCTTAACCAGCTGTTTTAATGAGAAGTCCATTTCTGATGTATTTCGTTATTGTTATTTATTTAACTTTTAATTTCACTCCTTTAATTTAGTAAGATTTTTCTTATTATTTAGTAAGATTTATATAGCTAAAAATTCACATGAGATTCAGCCTTAAAGATATCAACATTTTTTATTGGGGATTTTATTATGAATAAGTTAAAAATTAATGAATTTCTTAGTGATTTTAAGCTATACCATTAATTTTTTTAAATAAATATCTTTTTATTTAAAAATGCACCTTTACATGTTTATTTCCTCATAACTTTCAGTTTAAAACTTAAAAATAAGTAAATGAGAAGTCCATTCTTGATGTATTTCGTTATTGATATTTATTTAACTTTTAATTTCATTCCTTTATTTTAGTAAGATTTTTTTTTATATTGTCTAGTTAGACAGCTAAAATTCGCACGAGAGAGATTCTTAGAGATTTTTACATCTTTTATTTGGGAGGGGGTAAATAAATCAATGAATTTTTTAGTGATTTTAAGTTTTTTTTAATAAATACCTTTTTATTTAAAAATGTTCCTTTAAATGTTTATTTTCTCATAACTTTCAGTTTAAAATATAAAAAAAGTTTTTAAGTTTTTCATCAAATAATCCCTTTTTTTTAAGTTTACAAAAAAAATTTATACACAGAGAGTGCCTTTAATTATTTTTCAAAAGCTTGAACTTTTTCTGTTATTTTGATAATGAGTGAGAATTACTTTGTGAAATATACACATAAAATAGCATAAAAGGGTTATTGTTGTAAATTATAAAAAGGCTAAATTGAGGACCATTCAGTTATTACATAATGTTACATATTTTGATAAATTTGTAAGTGATTGCCCTTTTAAATCTCTAAGTGTCCTTTTTTGCGAGTAAGTGCCTTGCTCTCTTTTATTCCTAGGGCAAACTTAGATATATATTTCAGAACATTGTTTAATTAATATTAGTAAAGAAAAGAGAGTTAGACATTTATGGATAATTGTTTAGATGCAAGTTTATCTGTATACAAATTAAATAGAAAATATTCTTTTAGGAAATTTTGTGAGGTAGCCAAGTTAACTGCTGATCTTTGTTATCAACCTGCCTAGATATTTAAGTTCCGTAAATGATAATTAATGCTAAGACTAAAAACGAACAGAAATACAGAAAACTTTCTATACATAGANGAGTTTAAATTAAATATTATCATGTTTTTAGGGCATGAATCTGAATTGAACAACCTGATAATGCTCACTCTGGTTATTGTTTCCGTTTTTAAAAGCGCTATATGTTGAGCCACCTCATGTGACATTTGCCATGTGACATTTTTAGCAGCAATGATTGGTCTATTTTCTAGTGTTGCCATTCGGGGAGTTGTAATGAGGCCTTTTTTTATCGCCGTGTAAGAGAAATATATATATAGATAATTTGATTATCAAAGATGAATTTATAAAAGTTTGTCACTTACTTAATGGATAACCGAACATTAAAAAGAAAACATTTCTCTTTCACTTTTTATTACGCTAAGTTCATTTCCTCTGTATGTAGAATAATTTAGTCCATTATATAAGTATTTTCGAAGTCTGGATTTTGTTCTTTACTTTAAGCTTACATTAAGAGCTAAAATTGTCCTTTGTTTATATCAGCACTTTTGGCTTTTCTTTTAATTTCAATCATTTTTTTGTTTCAGCGTAAAATGTATAGAAAAATTTCTGAAAAATTGTAATAAATTTCTCGAAAGTTGTTGATAAAAGGGAAAAGAATCGGCTTTTATAGTCAAATATTTTCTCGTACAAATGTTTTCTCCCCAATAAAAATAAATATATATAAGCTAAACAAATTGTGAGATGATTGTAAGGAAAAAAAAAGTTATTGCGTTTTTGAAAAAAGCGAAAGTTGTAACCTATACATAAGTAGAAAATTTCAAATTAAAATCAACTTTCCTGTAAATTGTAAAGATATGAATCATGAGGATGAAATTTTGACTATTTCAGAATGTAAAAAGTCAGGGATTTATTTCAACTAAATTCAGAGAAAATTGTTCAAAAGTCACGTTTTAAAGATGCACAGCCCCATTAAACTTAAACAATATTTTATTAAAAAAAGTAAAAGTATCGAAGTAAAAGTTATGGTTTATTCAAATTCAACTTAAACTTTTTCTCTGAAAAGCATATTTAATTACAATAAAATAATGTTTTATATACTTTAAAAGTCATAATTATTTGTGGAATCTTCTTTGATTAAATAAGGATTCAGACTTTGAAATCAAAAGTTAGGTATTGATAAGCAAAAATTTTTTTATCATAAAAATTAAGCTCACTTTAGAAGAGCATTTGTACTTAGACTGGGAAATAAAATACTTCTAATTTCTGGAAAAATAACAAATAAAAAAAAAACCGTGAAAAAATAATAAGTTTTAGAATTCGCAAAAAATCGTAGCAAATTTGAAAACACGTGAAAATAATAACAAATTTGAAAAATCTCGAAAATAATAACTTAATAATTAATGTTGAATAATTATGTTGTATTTGTTAAAAAAAATGGATTTGGGGACAATACAGAAAGTGATACAAAAAAAAACATAAATCTTACAGAAAAATATTATCAGAACGACACACAAAAATTTATAAATTAATTTGCATGCAAAAACTGTAAACATACTGTAACGTATCATAAGCTATATCAAGAACTATTCAGTTTTTCTTTTAAATAAAAACTTTTATTAACAAACACAAACATTAAGAAATATGCAATACCCGTAACGGGATAGTGAAAACATCATAAACAACTAGAAAACCCGTAACGGGATATAAGGAAACTCAAATTCCACAATAAAACTAATCTAAAAAGAATCAACAACTCTGTCGTTCTAAATATTGACTTCTAATTTAATCGTCTGCTTTTATTTTTAAGTTTATCTCTTTATGCGTTTACTTTATTTTAATTATGATTTTGCAAACCCATTATTTCTTTAATATTTTTAGACTTTACAATCGTCTGCTTTTATAAATTCTTTAATATTTTTAAACTTTACAATACTTTTAGTTTAACTTTGAAATTATAATCAAAATATTTTCTTAAAGTATTTCAATCCATCAATTGTATTACACTTTAAAATTAGAGCTAATATCGCTACTTTAATTTCATCTGTTGCAAAGTAACAAACAGTATACTGTACCTTGCCAGCTGTTGCCATCCTTGAGTGAGTGTTCTGAAAGAAATATTCGAAACACTGTTATTAATATATATTATATAAAATAAAAAAAGTAACAATATAAAATAGTTCTACAACGAATTACGTAAAATAGAGGAAAACAGCTAATTCAAATACAGGCGTAATAAGATTTGTTACCTTTCTTGTTCCATGTAAAACGTGGATGAATTATGTTTAAGTAATTATTTCTAACCATCTTTTTTAATTTAAGGTAAAAAGTGATGTTATGCGTATTATTTTATGTTAGCCTATTTACACCGGCCACAAAAAGTGGTCTGCATATGAAAAGCACTGATGCGAAAAAAAGCACAGATTTGTTTTCAACAAATGTATATTTTTCTCTTTGACAGTCCAGAGAAGTAGTGCACATTGTTCCACTTAAGCTTTATTGATGTTAATATTTAAAGTGGTTATAAAATGCATTCGTTAATATTTTTATCTTCATTTAATGAAATTGTTCTAAAAGATATTAACCACCTCTACACATAAATAAATTAAAACACTTTTATTTCGGTATTTAAAGAAGCTGCGTTGTTGAAAAAAATCATGCTAATAAAATGAAATTGAAATGTTATATCACTATTAATGCAAAGAATCTTAAAAAGGAAGTGTAAAATATTAGCAGCTGTGACAGTGCTTGAAATTCAGATTCAAATATAAGTGTTTGTACCATTATTACAATATAGCAGACAAAACTATTTTAATTTTCCTAAATAAATCTTAGAAATGAAATATTTGTTCCACCACTTTTTCTGTTTTTTGATAAAACGAATAATTTTTTAAAAAGATTTTAGGCAAAAATGAGTTGAGAACGAATTTTAATTTGTGGTACTTAAATTATTTTTCGATATTTTATTTAATTTTTAATATCAAAAAACAATTTTTCTTCCGCATATAAAAATAGTTGAAATAAACAAAAGAGTGATTAGGGAATTTGAAGTTTTCCCTGCTATACGTTTTCTTAAGAACGTTTTTTTTTTCTTAGGTTGGATTCTGTGTTGCGAGTTTTAGAAACATTATAAAAATTTTAAAATAAAAAAGATCATAGTGAAAATATTAAAATACCTATTCAAAATACAATGAAATATCTTTTTTCAAAGATGAACGATAAGAACTCTAAGAATTTAAATAACTTGATTTGCATTTCTGTAGTTTAAAACTAACCCAACTTAGTTCTAAATTTTTACATTATGTATTTTATCATTCAGCGTAAATTTCTGAATTCTTTAAATCTCTTATGCTATGTGTCACGTTAAATATGTTTAATTTTGTGCATTATAATTGCATTTTTTTTCTTGTACTTAGTTTAAATGTCTGATTTTACTGTGCTTCAAACTTACAATTATGAATAACAATAGACGAATATAAAACTTATTTTAATTTTTAAGCACATATTGTCTTTCATCATCCATTTTTACAAATTAAATTATTTAACACGAAAAAAAAAATTTTAAATATGTAAATCTAATTTTTTTGCAAATTACACTTCTAAAAGCACTTTTTAAACGCATCTTCAATTAAAATGTTTATTCAGCGCGTTTTCAATTAAAATAATTACAAAAATAATGTTTTATTATTCTTTTATGATATGTGCCGTTGATTTTGATAGTGAAACAGTTCTTTTTTCCTAAGTTGAGATATTTAAGGGTTAACTTTTGAATGGATTTAAAAATATGGATGAAGGTTCATCAACTTGGGTATTTGTTTTTTACACTACAATTTGATTTAACTTCCATATGCAGTGATGATTATTAAAATTGTAAAAAGAAATAAAAATTTTTAGCTCCTAATAGACTTATTCCACTTTCAAAAATAACGGTTCATATGACTGAAACAATACTCTTTCAACCGTACTAACGAACTATACAGCTTATTAAGAGGCAAATACTATTTTCACAATGTTCCATCAATGATAATTTATATGAATTTCAATTATTGTTTTTTTTTTTTTTTTTAAACTCTTTACTTTTTTTTAAGCATTATCATCTAGATGTGAATTATTTTATTGAAAACTTATTGTTATAATGGCTTTGAATTTGGAAAAATATTTAAAAGTAGAGTTGACTTACTTTTCAAAAATAGGAGAAACACGAGGGTTAAGAAATCTGCCCTAGGTACACCAGGAATCACGTGAAGGCGTTCTTTTTATTTGCTGTCTACGATATTATATCACTCGCTTATCACATTATGCTTTCTTTCATTTTTGTTAAAATTTTGCTTAAACTTTATTTTCTCATTCAGCTTTGATTTCTATAGTTGAAGGTCAAGTTTAGAACAATTCAAGTGCGATAAAGCTTTTGTGCTTTATCAGCTTTCCTTAAGGTCTTTCAATCTCTTGTAGATAAAAAAAATTGCTCTGAAGATAGCTTTAACAATAGCATTAACTGGAATTTTAGTAAAGTGGACACATTATCGAATTTCTTTTCTTTTCAATGTATAAAATAAATATTTTTTTTTATAATATTTCTCTTCTTAATATAAACACAGACTCGTTCGACAAATTTTTTAATTGTTGTCGTTCGCTTTCAACAAAATAATCACGTGGCGTAATCCTCATTGAGCAAATAAATCCCAGATAGCTTAGTTGTCATCGACATAAAATTAATCAAAGCTACAGTGATGTTCATCTGAAAGATTCTTTTAAACACCTTTTCCAATATATATTAACACCTTTAAAATTAATATTGAACTTTCGTATTATTTTGTGATTTTAATTATTAATATATATATATATATATATATATATATATATATATAAGTAGCACATAATATTATATAACATCAGAAAATCGGTAAAATCTAACGTTATCTTGCACAACTTCTAATATTAGAAAGATACAAAAGGTCGCTGTTTACTCAGCCTTATATAATNGAACTCTGCGTTTGAGGTTAGTAACGCACAAAACAGCCAATCAAAATTGAGAACGCATGTGTGTGAAAAGGTAAAAATTTTTAATAATGCTGTCAAAAAATACAAAATACAAGCTGACTTCAAATAAAGCTCAGAGGACTTCGAATCAAATAATTAAGAAAACTCTACTATTACGTTTATAAAAGGGAAGATTTATTAACTCAACCACAAAATTATAACATCGCTATTCCAATAAAAACCAATCTCACACTTGTTACGTAAAGATATAAAAAGATCGAACAGAACGATTATTTATGCATACGATTATATATGATTATTATGAACTAAACTTTATGCAGACGATTGTTTATGACGTCATTAGATAAAAGTGTCATTAATGCAATATTATCCAGTGTTTATTAATAATTTTGAGTGGCAATGTAAAAAGATAGTTGTTCCAAAGTTTTATAATAAAATGTTTGTTTTTTATTAGTATTCAGTATGACATAAAAATTAAATTGCTTAGTTTAATTTGCCGAATTTCAGTTACATATGTTTTAATTATATAATTTGCTTTTTGTCTGATTGAAGCTAAAATATTTTGTCAGTTGACAGTATTGAAGTTAATTGGGCAATTACTTTCAATGGTATTTGCTTTTTGAAATATTACTCCGCATCAACTTATTAATATTACATGTTTCAATTTGTTTGCCATATTATAAAGTTCTTTTTTTCATTAGGTTTCAATTTTTTTCAGTTTAAAATTTAAATTACAGGGGTGGGGGATGAAGCACTGTATAGGGAACTTCCGGCATCCTATAAGATCATCAATGATTTGAGTTAGGCTCTGCCACGCGTGCTTCGGATACGGAGATTAATCTCCGGCTAATGCCCTATAGCAGTGTTTTCCAAACTTGTGACTTTTGTGTAGCCTTTCTAAATTTTTCGTAATGCTGTGTGCCACTAATAAAAAAATGAATGTATTTTTTTCTATCAAAAATTTTTACAGAAGTTTAAAAAAATCACAACTGGCTGTTGACACCACTAATTATTAACTAATTATTAACACCACTAACTCTGCAAAAAAATAGCCACGGTTAGCTTTGTTTTTAAATAAAATTTTTGAAATTTTTCTTTTGTTATCGCATAAAAACCCGTACCCCCGCTAAATTATTCCGGTTCCCCTAGGGGTACGCGTACCACACTGTGGGAAACACTGCCCTATAGTAATGTGTCAAATAATATTGCTTCCTCGCTTTATATAAGTTTATAATATTGTTTGTATTAAAATTGCTTTATATAAGAAGTTTATAATACTGATAATAAGCACCTCTGACTTCTTACAATCCTATCATATTCTCTTTATGTGATGTTGCTGCAGAAAAATTGCCAGCTAATCTCCAGCAAAACGACTTTAATTCTGTTCGCGAAGCAAACAAAAATGTAATTGCGTAGCAATTATCGGGGGTTGGCGAGCGGCAGCGAGTAAGGGGGCGGAGCCCTCTAGTATATATATATCTATAAATATATATATATACAAGTAAGTATGTATATGCAAGTATATAATTTCCTCCGTTTCTCTCTTTTTTCTTTTTATCCTTTGTGTATTTATTGTGCTACATATGCTGTTGTTGTTGTTAATTTATGTCGCACTAGAGCTGCACAATGGGCTATTGGCGACGGTCTGGGAAGCATCCCGGAGGATGATCCGAAGACATGCCATCGCAATTTTGATCCTCTGCGGAGGGGATGGCACCCCCGCTTCGGTAGCCCGACGACCTGCACGTGAAGTCGAGCACTTTACGGACCAATACCGCACACCCGAGGACCAATACCGCACACCCTCGGTCCCTACTCAGACTGATCCAAGTGGTCACCCACCCGCACACTGACCGCAGCCAGTGATGCTTGACTTCGGTGATCTTCTGGGAACCGTGTCTTAACAATCAGTCCACTGCGGGACGTGCTACATATGCATATACACAAGTAGAATGCATGTATGCATTCGCTGCTCGCTTATACTTATATATATATATATANTATTGCAGCCCATGAGCGATATATATATATATATATATAAGTATAAGCGAGCAGCGAATTCAAATGTACTTACACGTACAGAAATCTTTCAAAAATGATTTTCAATTTTTTCGTAATAAGATTGCCAGATTACAAAAAATGAAAACCGAAGCGTAAGTAGATTGATATTTTATGTCGTGTTCTTACTGCTGTACTGAAGCGCGTTTAATTTGTTAGTTACCTTGGATTGACCGGAAAATGGATGTGCGCAAGGTAATAATATTATATTGGATATTTTAAAGTTTATAATTAATAGGGTTGATATTTAATTTCACAATTCTAATGATTTTAGAAAATTAACAATTATTTCCAAAGAAGAAATGCTTTAGCGCTTAATATTATCTAACATTAACTTACTTTCGTTTTCAATTTTTTTCTGTTTTTAATTCGTTTTTCTAATTCCGTGTGTTTGGAAGTTGCTGTTTGAGTCTATTGTATTGTTAACAGAAATAATAATTGAGCCCCTGAAAAAATTTGTGCAAAACGAGAAAATCAGGTTTCTTTTTTTTAAAATAATTGTTAATTTTCCAAAATCATTAAAATTGCGTAATTAAATATCAATCTCATTAATTAAAAACTTCAAATTATTCAGGATTATATTATTAACTTGCACACATCCGGTTTTAGGCCAATCCAAGGTAACTAACAAATCAAACGCGCTTCAGAACAGTAGCAAGAACACGTGATAAAAGATCAATCTATTTACGCTTCTGTTTTCCTATTTTGTAAACTGGCAATCTTATTACGAAAACATTTTAAATCATTTTTTAACGATTTCTGTACGTTTAAGTTCATTTGAATTCGTTGCTCGCGTATACTTGATATATATACATTCTACTTGTGTATATGTTACCGTTAAAGTATGAAATCCGTTATTTTATAGAATACCTAGTTATTCCATGAAATAACTGATCGTGTCCGTTAAAGTGTAAAACTCTCTTGTATTTCATGGTTTAACTAGTTATTTCATAGAATAACGATCTGCAACCCGTTAAAGTGTGAAATAATCTATATCATATATCTCGCACGACAAATACATTTACCTTCCACCCCTACTGCATTTATTATTAGATTTATTATTATTCGAAGATTATGTTTCAGAAGATGAAGTTGAGCAGAAAATCTGCAAATTGTGTTTTGATAAACTTAATGTTCAAAGAGAAAGACAAAAATCAGAAAAAAGTTTAGAGATTCAAGCGAAAAAGATGAAATTAATGTCGGATAAATCTCATTCTGAAGCCTCTGTGGGGTTTACCGTCCGTGCCTGAAGTTGACAGAGGAAAAGGTGATACCAAATCTATTTTAGCTATCATCATAAAAATAACCGAAGAAGGAATTTTCCAATTGGGCACAAGAAACGGCCGCATAAAACAATTTTTTTCCCGATCCCAGATCAGTGTCTGCGAACAAAAAATTAATTAAAATCGAAGAAGTACTGGATGTCGAAATATAGCTCCGGTCGGTTGTTACAGCTCAAAGTTTAGGTACTGGTCAGGGATTTAAAAAATGTTCGTGTAAAACCCAGTGTGTCAACAAAAAGCGTTTTTGTTTTAGAAATAATGTTCTTTGTAATACCAAGTGTCATTTTAGTAATCCTTGTTGCAACAAATGATTTCATGGTACGTTTCCAAAAATACAATTTATACGCTGCATAAATTAGATGAATTGTTTATTTTACACTTTAACTGTCTCTCATTAGTTAATTTATAGAATACCTAGTTATTTCATAGAATAACTAGTTAAAGTGTCAAATTAATAACATATTACACACTTTAACGGACACGATCAGTTATTGGAATAACTGAATATGATGGAATAACTAGGTATTCTATGAAATAACTGCATTAAACACTTTAATGGTAACATATATGCTTATGTAGCAAAATAATTAAATACATAAAGGATAAAAAGAAAAAAAGAAAGAAACGAAGGAAATTAAGAGTTTTTTTTTCCATGTTTTTTCTCTCTTTCTTTATATATATATATATCTGAAAATCAATTCTCAAAAAACTAAACTTCTAAATTTAAAATTTTAGAAAATATTTCTTAAANATATATATATATATATATACACTTCTCGTATCTTTAAATCGTGACACTTTCTCTTATACTAAGAATTTTTCAATGCAATTTTTAAGCTATAAAGAGATACTTTAACGCAATGATTATCAAACTCTTTATACCTAAGAACCAAATACTGAAAAAAATTCTTGATAAAATTACGGTATAAAGTACCGGCACTTTGGGTGCACCAGTAAAATTTATTTCTTTTAAAAGTGTAAGCATTCGAAAACTTCTTAAAAAAGAATTACCTGTTACTTTTTAAAATAAAATGATTAGGCAATTTTAAAATAATTTATTTAAGAGTGCAATCACTTAAATT